ACATAGGCCGGCCGGACTCCCATTCTTTTGAGGGGAACCTCCCGCACTGCGGAGAGCCTCCGAGTACGAGAGGCCCCCCCTCTCCAAGTGGACCGCCACCGCCGCCGTCACCGACAGCGTCGGCAGCCCCCCACCTCCTCTACCAGGCCGACCGGGCCCAGCCGGGCGGCAGGGAGGGGCCAAGCCCCCCACCGATACGCCCGGAACGGCCACGCCCGACCCCGTCTCCTCTACCACTCCCTTTCCCATTCTTCTCTTCTTTCTCTTCCCCCCTCCCATCCTTCTGCCAATCCCTGCCGCCTCCCCATCTGGGACGGCAGCAGCACCCCTAGCCACCCACGCCAGCGACCCCCCGGAGCCTGCCAGGCCCCCCCTCATCGGAGGCAGTGCTCCGGGCCGGGGACGACGCCTGGTCTCTCATTTCGGGCCGAGTCTCCGGGAACGGAGACACAACCCGATCCACCGTCTCCCTCCTCCTGCTCCTTAGCTCTCTTATCATACCTTCCCTTTCTTCCCTCTTTCTCCTCAAACCATTCCTTTCCATTTCCCATTCTTTCCTGTCTTGTTTCCACTGCCGTCAATTCCTTTCCCATGCTTCCAATTCCTCTTTCAACTCTATTTCCTTATCCTCATACTCATCCAGCATTGCATCCTTTTCCCTTACCAGTCCCTTCAGAAACTCCGTTCTCATTCTGAATACTTTGGCCATATCCTCTCCATATCTGACCATTTTTTCTTTGCTTTGCGTGATGTTACTTTCCTCCACCCCACTCATTCTTTTATTCCTCCTGATGATCTCCGTGATATTCCCGGCATTTTCCTTCAGAAAGTTTAGCCGCGAGAGTATAAACTCCCGGTTTTTCTTTTTCCTCTCGGGATCCGGCCAGCCCTGGAACTCCTCGCCTTCCATATCCATTCGTTCATCCCCTTCTTTATCCCTGTCCCAATCCTCTCTTCTTCCTTCTCCATCTTCCTTCTTTTCTCTCTTCCTACCTCACATTCCCTCTCTGCTCTTCCAATCTCCCCCCTCTCCTCGGCGGTAGTCCTAACTGCCGGGGTGCCCGCCTCCGACACCCCGTCAGCCTCGCCCACGTCCGGCCCATCGCTCGTTGACGACAGGGAGAACCTGGAACCATAGCCCCCTTGCCGGCCCGACTTTACCGACCTGCCGGAAGTCGTTATTCTCTGGTCGTCCATCATGTTTGATTTGGGAGGCATGACAGCGGCCCCCCAACCCGGGCGGCTTTTCGGGCCACCCCCTAGGGCGGTTTGGTTCAACGGAACCTAAAGAACCCGGCGCCCTGCCCCCGCTGTGGATCTCCGGTGAAGTATTCACCTAGGACCTTGTTACTCCCGGGCGCAGCTGCCCACCCGGGAGGCCGGTTGCCATGCAGGCGTTAGGGACCCGACAGACCCCGCGGTGAGGTCGGTTTGCTCGCACCGGCCACCCTAAGGACAACCGGGCGCGCTTGCCTTCCCCTGGTACTCTCGGGCGCCGCTGCCCATCCGAGAGACCGGTATCATACTGGCATAAGGGATCCGGTACTCTCCCCTGCTGTAGGCGCCATTGAGAGCCACTCCCTCTCTGAAGCGAGAAGGAGGGGCGCCCTCCGGCCCTTAGTACTCATGGGAGCAGCAACCCACCCATGAGGGCCTTTTAGTCGCCTTTTACGACACGCAGGCCATATGTTGGGGGTATTCTTTACGTCCGCCACACACACGGACAACATATTTGTTATATGCACGTAAGTCTTTGTACCGCATCAAGGTGGAGATTATCAGAACGGTTTCATATTTCTTATTTTTAATTTTTTTAATTTTTTTACTTTCTGTTTCTATAATTTTTACAAATTTTTTAAATATTTTTGCTCATGCATGTATTTTATTATATTTTATTCTACGAGAATGTAAATTTAATACTTTACATTATTAGTAGTTTTAGTATTAGTTGTTAAATTCTTATTATATTATTATATTAGTATGTATATATATATATATATTGTGACCGTTTTTCCGTTGGTTAGATGCGAGAATACGGCCAAAACTTCGTCTCCGCCGTTGCGGCGACGGCCGAGCTTGCCGGCAGCTCTCAAAAATGATCTCTCGGTAGAGCGGCGGGGTTCTTGTATCGACGCGCGACCTTCCTTCGCGTGACACGAGAGGAACAGGCGACAGAGTCGGAGGAATCATACAAGCACACACGTATGGTTTAACATTCTGCTATATTTAACACAAAAAAAAAACAGAAACAACAAAGAAAGATATTACCAAGACGCGAGGCGGGCTCCGAGACGCGTAATCGCGAAATGATTCGGCAGCCGGATCCATAGTCGAGGATCCTTCTGCTTCGCGGAGGTCAGACGGCACGAGGCTCGCGAAATCCTCTCGATACACGTTAATTATTGCTTAGGGCGCCAGCCGGGTGCATCCCGGCCCTAATTATCTCGTCGCGAACCGCGTATTTATCGCCACTCTCGGGAACCCGCACTTTCTAACAATGATCTCGAGTCATTACAATATTCGCTCTCGCTCGCCGTACTGTGCGGTCGCGAACGCGGTGAAGCGGCAGCAGGCAGCGCGGTAAGGGCGGCTATTCCCTCGCGAGGTCAAACGGGTCGTCGCGGGCGGTGACGAACCCTTCCGGCAGCCGTCGGGAAGCGACGGCAACCATTCCGATCTTTCCGCGCTCGGCTGAACGACAGATGTAAGACGGCTTACCAAAAATCCCAGCTGGGCTCGTCTCTCCTCTCCGCTCTATCGCTCGCTAGCGGTCTCGTTCGCTCGCTGTTGCTCGTCGCTCGCTAGTGCTCTTGTCCTAACGTACGCTTCGCTCGCTAGCCGCACAGTGACGAGTCCTTCCGCGAGCGCGAGGCTCCTTAACTCGCGGTATCAGCCGCCGATCGCCGCTAGGTCTTATTGGTCCTGCGGGAACGTACGGCTCTAGCGCGGGCGCCTTGCAGGGCCCGCGCGACACCGCCGAATTCTCTGATTCTATGTCGACGGCATCCTGTCTCTGACGGCAGCTCTTTTTAGCGGGGGCGTTCAGGTGGCCGCCGGAAGCTTGAGTATCCCAGGGCGTCCCCCGCGATCTGGTCCTTACGGTCATCCCTTCCTGGCGCCCCGCTGCTCTCTGGTCGGGGCCCCCTCGCTTGTAATAGCGAGGGGTGGATCCTGCCCCGCTCGGCTTGTCGTCCTCTACAGGTCCGCCGCCGCCTTGCTTCGAGCGGTGCACCTCGTCGTTCTCGTCGCCGCCGAGCACACAATGTAAAACAATAAAAATAGCAACAAAATTACAATACGCGATCTCGCACGTAAAAAGCGTGCGAGACCAATCTCCTCGCAGCCGCCCTTCCCGCGGAAGAAAGGGGCGCGAGCACAGCTCTCCTCGTCTCCCCGCTGCTCTTGGTGACGGCGAAATCGCCACGTCACAATATATATATATATATATATATATATATATATATATATATATATATATATATATATATCTAGTTCCCATTTCCGTTCCTTATTCTTCCATTCCTTCATTTCCGGTTTTCTGTGAGGGTTTTCCTTCCCCGTTGCCGCAGTTTGCCAGCGATCCTCAGGTAGGGGCCACCCCTCCAGCTGAAGCCGAAAAGTACTGCCGCCGAGCCTTCATCGAATCGCCGGTACCTCTCAAAGTCTAATTTTTTTTACACACTGTATATATATATATATATATATATATATATATAGCCTGCCGGTATGCCCCCCATTTAAATCATGATGAGCGAGAAAAAGGAGAAGAACTGCGGCGGTTTGGATACACCGCACTGGCACGGGGGGGACTATGGTCCCAGGTCTCCCTCTGTCGTCATCACATGATGGGCCGTGTGTGAGTGGAGCTGCCGGCGCGTCGGTGGTACGGCTATCGCCGGGGTGGGAGGAGAAATGGGAGGAAGAGCTAGGAGGAGGAAAGAGAAGGAAAATAGAGAAGGATTGGGACGGGGATAAAGGAGATGGAAGAAGGGGGTGAAGAGTCTGATACGGAGGAGGTTAGGTTAGGAAAGCGTAAACCTTGGCCAAGTTGCGAAAACCTGAAAAAGAATAGGGAATTTGTGATGAGGAAGGTAAACTATGTGAAAGAGAGTGCGGGTTATATGCGGAAGAGGTTGTCAGCAGAAGCAAAAGAATGAGCAGAAACGAAAAGGATGAACTTACATTAAGAAAGAAAGAAATGATCAGATATTGTGAAGACTTGGCCAAGGTGTAAGGTGGTAAGATAAGGACACAATATCTAGAGGAAAGGATTGAAAAACTAAATAAATTGTCGGAAGAGGATTTTATCAGAAAGAAGGAATATGTTAGTAAATTAGGAGATTGGATAAGGAAAGGAAGGCAATGGGAAGAGGAAAAGAAAGGGATGAAGGAATTGCTCGAGAAGGAAAGGGAAAGATGGAGGAAGGAGAGGGAGCGGCTGAAGGAAAGGAATAGGGCTTATTGAATGGAAAGCTGCTGCCTTCAGGGTGGATCGGAGTACGTTCCCAATCTGCGTGGAGAGGAGGGATTGGGCCGTGTCTCCATTTCTGGATGTGCAGCCCGATGGACCGGGCGACGCCCCCGTTGCGGGGCGCTGCGTCGGGGTTTCGGCGAGCGCCGGACGAGCGGGGGCGGGCCTTACCTGCCTTGCCTGCCGTGGCTTCTCCCGCAGACCGGGAGTGGGTCGCGGTGGGCCGGGAGGCTGGAAAAGGAGGAGGAGCCCTGTAGAGGACGGCGCCGGTGAGTCGTGCCCGAGGCGACCGGTGGCGGTCGTGGTCCGCCTAGAGCCGGGGGGCCTCTTTTATGCGGAGGCCCTCCCCAAGGCGAGGGCCGATATCGACCCCGGCGCGAGCGGGGCCCGGCTCGCCTTTGTGAGAAGGGCCGCAGGGGGCAGCCTCCTTTTTGGGCTGGCCGGGCCCGACAAGGAGGGGGAGGCGGACGCCCTGGCTGCCTAGCTCAGGGCGTCGCTTCCGGGGGCCGTGGTAACACGGCCTTGCAGGATGGGGGAGATCCGACTCGTCGGTTTGGTCCTCGCAGCGCGAGGTGGATGTGGACCGGGCGAGATTCGTCTGGGCCCTATCCGGTGGGGCTGGCGGGGCGAGGGGACCGTGTGGGCGCGGCTCCCCTTCGCCTCGGCCGCCAAGGTGGCAGCCGAAGGGAGGGTGGCGCTGGGGTGGGCGGGTGGAGATGCTCGCGGCTCGCCCTCTTCAATGCCACAGGCGTTGGAGGCTTACGTTCGGGCGGCCTGCTCCGCGTCAATTGATCGGAGTGGGCTGTGCTACCGGTGTGGCCGGGCCGGGCACATCGCGCGGGTCTGCGCCTTGAGCGTGGCCTGCGCGGTGTGCCGAGAGGGCAGGCGGGACTCGGGCCACCGGGTGGGTGGTCCAGAGTGCCCGTTGGTGGGAGGTGGGAGCTCGGCGGACGGACGGCTGCCGGGCCACTGTAGGGGCCGACCGCCGAATGCGGGAGGCGTGCCGGCGAATCCCGGGAGCTGTCTCGGTATCCTGCCAGCGGAGAGGGCCACGGTCTGACCATCTAGACCGGGGCCACGGCGCCGGCTAAACATCGTGGTCGGCGCCGGGGGGAACCGGGACCGGGAGTGTTGTACGCCCTGTCCCGGTCTCCCCTCTCTCTTGCGGGTCGCTGAGGGGGTATGCGAGGACACACCCTCCTAGTATAGCGGCCTGGGAGGGAGGCGGCGCGGTATTAGGTCGCACCGCGCCGCTGTTAGGAGAGATCGCGACCAGGGGTGATTATTACCCCCGGTTCGGGAGGTGTCCTCTGGACAGCGGAGAGAGGCCCGGCGGATGTCATACGCAAGTAGTAGGAGCGGGCCCCTTGACGACCGCCGAGGACGGACCCGCCAGGGGTTTTAGTGAGTAGGGCCCCCGTCGATTTTCTTCGGCGGGGGAGGAGTCCCACATAACCCGCCGTCTTCCCCCTGAGGCCGCGGATATGCGTAAAGCATTTCCCCTGGCTTACAAAAAAAAGGAAGTAACAAATTGTCCCCCTCCGTTCCCTCCGAAAACTATTGGCGTGTCAAGGGGCTCCGTGCTGGGGGAGATCTGGAACATCTGGCCAGGGCCATCAGTTTAGCGAAAGACCAGGCCCGTCAACGCCTCCTCCTAAGTTGGAGCATCCGCGTGAAGGGAGCGACGGGCCGGTCGGAAATGAGGGTCGCCGAGATCATCCGGTCCTGTCTTAAGGAGTGGGTGGACAGGGCTTGCGGGGAGTTGTCCTTGCGGACAACGCGGGTATTCACCGGACATGGATGCTTCGGTGAGTACCTGCACAGGATAGGCATGTAGCTCACCTCGCGCTGCCACCACTGTAATAACGAGATAGACTCGGCGCAGCACACCCTCGAGGAATGCTCCTCGTGGATGGCAGAGCGCCGAGTCCTGATTGTTGTGGTGGGAGCGGACCTCTCTTTCCCGGCCCTTATCACGGCCATGCTCGGGGGAGACAAGGGCTGGTCCGTCGTCACCTCCTTCTACGACGCAGTTATGTCGCAGAAGGAGGAGACGGAGAGAGAGAGGAGGGCGGAGCCGCCTCTCGGAACGGGGTTTTGGGAGAAAAGGGCTCGCCGCAGGAGAAGGGCGGTGCTTCACCTACCAGCGCACCAGCGCATGATCGAAGGGCGGCGTACTCGAGGGCGGGGAGGGGACGTCACTGCTGGCGTTCCCTCCCCCGGGATATTTGCGGGTGTGCTCCCCATCCCCTCAATGCCGCCGGGTCCTCCTGTTCGACGGAGGACTCGGTCTGGGGGAGATAGGGGGCACCTGGTCGGGCGAGGGAGGCGCGTCGCATAGCGCGACTCCCCTCCCCCATGACAAGGAGTCTGACCAGGCGTCTCCGGGAGGTGGGCAGGGTAGCCGGTTCGCAAGGGCGGACTCTTAGGTCGCTCACCCCCCTCCCAGAGGCAGGAGGTTCTTGACCGAGAGGAGCGGAGGTGTACAACGACCTCTCCGCCCCCGCGACCTCAGGCGGGAGCGTAGGGCTGCGCCGGGTCCGGACGGGTCCGGACCCGGCCAATTTCGCCCCTAAAAGGTGAGGAATGACAGGACGGTGGCCCCACGTCCGGTCATGGAGGATAAGTGACACGGGGAACATGTTTCCCCTGCCCGGGATTGGGGGCGGGGTTTAGATTTTTCCCCGCTCTGCGGCTGAGGGCTTCCCGGAAATAATGCGCAAGCGGTTCCCGAGACGCCCTCGCAAAGGCCGCAAAGGGCCTGGCAGAGGTTTTAGTGGGTAGGCCCCCCCCCCGGACGGTTAGTTCTGAGGGAGGATAGTCCCGCACTACCTCTGGGAAAGTCCCGTTTTTCCCGGGGGTGTACGTAAAGCATTTCCTCTGCCTAACCAAAAAAAATTGTTCCCCTCCGTGCCGCCACCTTAGCGTGGTGGAGGGGTACCGGCGATCTGTTGAAGGCTCGGCGGCAGTACCTTTCGCCTTCGGCCAGAGGGGAGGCCCCTACCTGAGGATCGCTGGCTAATGGCGGCAGTGGGGAAGGAAAACCCCTACAGGAGACCGGACCGCGGTGGGATGCAGCCCCGCGGTTGCTAGAAGGGGTTGACAGACCTTCCACTGCAGGGGGGCCCGGCAACTCCCACAAGGCCAACGGGTCCAATTGCCGGTAGGAGTAGGCGGCCCTGATTCCAATTGCCCGGCCTTCTGGGTCCGTTAGGAAGAGCTTGCTCCGCCACCAGCCTTGGGGGGTTTGGGGTTGGGGGAACCTCCGCTCCGTGACGAGTGGTTTCTCGTCGCGGGGGAGGTCCCACACGAGTAGGCATAGCACGTCGGTGCTCCGACAGCCGAAAGTGTGGGACACTCTCGATTCGTCCCTACTCGGATCTCGGCCTGGGTAGTGTGGGGAGAGGAACCCACACTCGGGATTGCACGTCGAAAGCCACGCTCTCGACAATCCGGGGGGATGGAAAGGTGTGCGGGCCGCTCGGACGAATTCCGAGGTCGGAATCCGAGGTCGCACACCCTGAGACGGCCGCCCGTCGAAACTAGCCGGAGGCTTTGCGGGCCGGCGGAACGGGAGGTTGAGTCGCAAGGACCTGTACATTGGCCCTCCCCACTTTCGTGGGGGGTGCCGCACCCCGGCAACCTTACGATTTCTCCTGGTCACGGCGTGACTGGCCGTGAAGGTCCCCCCGAGTGAGCAGTTGCACGCGGGCAGTAGCAGGGGTCTGCGTGGTATTTAACAGGACCCCTACAGCGCAGAATTGGCCAGCGTCAGTTCTATCTATATCGTAAACCCTCAGAATGCGTCCCATTATGTCATGTCTATGACGTGGCGGGGGAGGGGGGAGCGAGGGCCTTGGCTTAATCGCTTGGGCTGCAAGGATGGGGACCTCTATAAAAAATCCCCTCCATCCCAAGTTTTCCGTTTTTGAGCGGCGGCAAGGGGATGGATGGCCGGCGGGTAGGTCGGTCGTGAGCGGTCCACCCCGGGGCACCTAACGCACCACGGGGATATATAGACTCCAAACGAGAAGGCACCGATCGGATGGTAAGTAGTTCCTCCCACTCATAGAGCCTTTCCTGTTAGCCCTCGGGTGATAAGGGAGAGGCAACCCTAGAATGATGTCTAAAAGAAACCAAGAATCATACGACGTGACGGGGAGAGGGGGAGAGGAGACAGACGCAACTGCGTCGCCAGCGACTGTGCGAACACCGCACAGGGTAGGGCCGTCCAGCAGCCTTGCTGGGATCAGGAATCCGATCCGCGCTGAAAAGGGGGAGGAGGCTGGCGAAGAACTGGCCAGCCCTAGAATACCCTCTGGTCCGCCTTGTAGTAAGGGCGGACCCGCGCGAAGGACAAGATCGCGCATCCGGGCAAACAGCCAGGCCCTAGCCGACGACCAGGCTCGGGAGAGGGATAGCCCGGAGAGGACTCGGTTGGCCTCGCGATGAAGCTCGTATAGCCAAAAGAGTCAGCCGAGAGTCCTGTCTCCGGGACTTAGTAAGAAGCCCAGAGACGACTCGCGAAACCACCGCGGATGGGCTTCTCTCACCAGCCCGGGACCTGCTGGCCTCCATTTTTGCCTCCCAGACATCGGAGGTAAGAAAGCAGGAATGGCCGTGCAAGGACCCCTCCCACAAGAGGAATTTCACGGCCGACAAGATGGCCTTGAAAAAGGAGGCCATCCGGAAGAGGAATATGGCCAAGGTGGTGGAGTTTGTCGCCGACGAAGAGAGGTAGTCGTATGGTCGTAGAGCGGACAGGGCTGAAAAGAATGAGGCCAGGTTCGTCTACGACCATAGGGCGATGGCGACGGCTGAGGTGTTCACCCGACTCTACAAGTCGGTGGATGCCGTTAAAAAGGTGGCGCAGAAATCCAGTAACTTGAAGGATACCCTTCTGGGCGAGCTGTGGGCGGCGACTGAAGAGTTGTCGGCCTACGGCACCACGCTCGCCGTGAGGGCCAAGAAGGTTGCCGGACGGCCGGAGTCAACGTCTGAGGCCGAGGCCCGTGAGAAGGAGCCCTGTGGAAGCGGAAGCTTGACGAGCTCAGCTCATAGAACCGCCTTCTCAGGGCAAGACTCGAGGAGCTCGAAAGGGCCGGAGGAGCGGCGGCGTCCCTCCCATCGGAGGAACGGGGCAGCCGGGACGGTTGACCGGAAAAGGTCGACCGGGGCGGCGAATCCGGGCTCCTCCTCGGAAGAGGAGGTTTCCCGAAAGAATAAGAGATATGGCGGGGTGACAGCCCTCCCAAGATCTCCCTCTTCCGGGGAACAGTATACTCCTATGGAGATGGAGGTGGACGAGGGAGCGAGGGGCCTTGATCCGGCCCCCTCCACGGGAGGAGCGAAGAGGAAAAGAGGGGAAGTCTCCTGAGGGAGGAAGTTGACAGGGATCGGAGGGACGGTAAGATCTCTCCGGCCAACAAACCTCCTCTTGAAGGAAAGATCCTCTCTCTTCCAAAAGGATGGGGGTGGGCTAACAATGCCCCCAAAGGGAAAAGCGGCCGCGCTGACCTGCAAGGGCCGGGACAAGCATTGCGCCAGCAGCAATCTCGGCCCAAATAGGGGCAACAAATAAGTCCTCAGCAGCGGCGGCAACCAGAGAGGAAGTGACGGGTGCAGCAACAACAGCAGCAACAATGGCTCTCCCTCATCGGTTACGGTGGGACGCGCTTGGAAATCGGGGAGGAGGAGAGCACTGCTCTCGAGCTGCTGCTCAAGAGGACTATTCTCCGAATTCTGGCGCGTTTTGGCTTCTTCCCCCCGGGGGTGGCGCGGAGCGGAGGTATGGCCGCAAGCGGCCACCCCGAAGGATAGGGCAAGAAGGGATGCCCTCGCCTCCCCGGCCGGAATTCCGATGTTTGATAACAGGGCGCCTTCTTCTTCCTCCTTCAAAAGGAGGAGGAAGAGGAAGAAAAAGAAGAAGGGAGGCGAGAGTGGCGAGGGAAAAGGGGAGGGGCAAGTGCTGCCCCTGGACCCTCCTGCTTTTATGCCGAGGAGCTGGCCCCCCCGGGACCCCACTGAGGCGTTAAGATTGGCGGTCTCGGCTCCCATCGC